CTACATTGCAGACTTCTGTGGGCATAGCTCTGTGATCCACTGATATGAAAATGTCTTACAGAAGCTCCTGTTATAAGCCTATTCACATCTAAAAAAGAAAAGCTAAACACAACAACCCACAAAGAAAAAGAGCTTTTAGCTGTAAGTTTGTTCAGCTGCTTAGCTTGTTTGATTCAGAGGTGATCAAATAAACTATGCAATACATAACTTCACAAAAGAAGTTGCATCTTTATTTAGAAAGAGTTACTACTATGACACATATTACAAAGAACTTTAATCATGTGGCCCTTAGTGAACAATTCTGTTGATAATACACAGAACAGGCAGAGTTTGCAGCATAGTTGTATTCACTTGGCATCACTGGGTAATTTTCAAAGAAATTGGTAAATTCTTTGTTTCCAAAACCACCAGATTTAACACTGAACTAACTTAGAAACAAATCTATTGAAGTTTTTGTACTCCCTTTTTCCTGTATTAAGCTTCCATTTAGTGTACCACTACTGAAATATATATATATATATGAAGTATCAACAATATAATACTGGTGCACAAGATAAGAGTCAAGGCAGGAAAGAGGCAGGAGAAATCTATAATTAGATTTTTCTCAGTGCATCCATCTTTATTTATCCAAGAGGCCAAAGTCATTATTATTTACTCAAGAATCTCCTTGGAGAGTAGAACTGTAAAGATTTACTGCATATTATGAGAATCTATAAATATATTGAAGTTCCTTAGTTCAATTATTTGTCCTTTTTGCACTTGATTAAAATGGAAAGAAAGTTATATCAGTTGTATACCATGTTTGGTTTCTGATTCTATCTTCCCTCTCCTAAGTTGTTCTTGTAATAGAAAAGGGGTAACTGTATTTCAATTCTTTTCTCACACTTTTTTCACCAGCTGATATAAGCTTGCCTGTAAAGTTCTTTGTGTTTAGTAAGCGAAGAGGATCAAATTTGTTAAGAAATTTGTGACAGAAAGTCTTAACTAGAATAGTTGTAGTTTTCACAGCAATCCTTTGAGCTCAGGGGAGTTTGATGCTTAGATGCAGTATAGTCCCTTTAAAGATAGTGGTACCCCAGACCATTCTGGATTCAAGAATTAAGTCCTTGCTTTGTCTTGGCCTGTTAGAGCAAAACACTTTTTCAGGATCAGTCCTATGAGTCATAGAGCAGAGGCATTTAATTTTAAATTTTAAATCTGATTATCCAGTATAATGTGGAACTGCTGCTTAGCAAACAGCTTTACTTAGCAAAAATGGTACTATGCACATGCACAAAAAAAGCCAAACCCAAGGCCAAACCAAACCCAAACCCCAAAGCACCCTATTTCGCAAGAGATTACTTATTCTTAATCTTTGTTTATCCTTGAAAAAAACTAATAGGGAAAACAAAATTTTCTGTAAATAAAAGAAAGCAGTAATGTAACCTATTATCTACCTTTCCATATAGAACATATTTTAATAAGTTATTTATTTTATTTTCTCTAAAATAAAGACATTAACGGACAGTATAAATGTGCCTAAAAATAGACACTTAAACCACTCCACTCTCAGAGTGGGCTCTGACAGCATACAGTTCTTTCTCAGATTCAAATAGTAACAGTATTTTGTGTTATTTGTTAAACTTAATCAAACCCAAAGCCTCAGCCTGGGTTCAGTTCTCACTGTACAACACAGTTTTGGTCCCAATCTAGAATCCTACTCCTTGTCCACAACTTTGCATACTGCATCTAGTCCCTGTGCCCAGCTCCAGGTACTGGCATTAGGCAAACCAGCTACAGAAACAGGGTCAAGTCTAAGGCAAGCTATAACTAATGAACGTCGTGAACAGCAAGCCAAAGGATGATAGATTTTTAAATGATTCATTTAACCCCCAAGCCAACAATCAATTACAAATAGTTAATGCACACAGGACTCCCACAAGCATGGGTTCTGGGTCCTATCCTTGCAAACACTGATGGGATTAAGTTTATGGAAACACCAGTGGAAGAGCACACATTTATGTACAGCATGTAAGAATTTCAGTAAGCTCTTAAATATTTCTTCTTTAAAATCATCTCATATAAATATTCAGATCATGTTTGATACAAAATAATTTTTTTTCAATGATTTTGATTTGTATCTACTTTTGCAGTTGGGAAACTAATTGAGAATGGAATTGTTGTTTCTTTTGTTTTATTTTTGTACTATTGTTCTGTTTCTTTCGACCCTGACAATATAGTGCTATTTTACTTTTAAAATATCTATTAATATCCACATTTTTCATTATGTGGATAAAACCTATTACTGTGCTCTCAGAAAATATTTTGGAACCTTCACACAGAAGACAACATAAGCTGTATTTCCAGTCTAAAGTGACAAGCTCAGCAGCCAGCGTTTGCAAAGGTAATTTATACAGCAACAGTATAATCACAAAGGGCTTACATTTTATCTTCAATGGGGAAAAAATATTTAATGCAATTACAAAGGTTTTATACAAGAGGTGAAACCTCATATCTAAGAATAAAGCAGTTCACTACATTGACTTTGAAATGTAAAGGTTAATATTTGTGTTCTTCATAAGCTAAATTCTGCTATAATTTAAAGACAGCTAAATCATTGTACATAAACACAAATCCTTGCACAAATATATAAATGCAAAAATATGAAGTAAGCCCTGTAATATCCTGAAGAACTGGCCAATTGTCAACAAAATAATTTTGGTGAAAAAAAAAATTCTGTGGGCATATACAAGCTTGCTTTAATGCAAGCTAAATATGTAGTCAAAGATAGGAGAGCTAAAGCCATTCATCTGAGGAAAGACAGAACCTCAACGGTTCATTTCCTATTCTGAATCTCAGTGAAAAAAATGTTTACACTCAGTTTCTCATTTCTCAGGAATGACTCTAACTACCAGACTACTATTGTATTGTCCCTACTGAAGTCATTCATCAGCAACTAGAGAGCAAGTGAGAAACAACAAAAAAAATTAACTATATTAAAAACTGCATGAAATATACTAAACTCCTATCTTAACTATATTTAAAAATATAAGCCAAATTCTTTGCCTCTCAGGCTAAATAAGATGATGTCATTATCTACACAGAGCCTAAATCTTTCCCACTGCCCTATTTACCTTCTCTGACTTCCTCCATTTCTCGTAATAGCCTAGATCCTCTGCTGGAGAAGGCAAGGAGAAGGGGAGAGGACAGAAAAACACAGGCAAAATAGTAAAAATCTGCAAGTTAGAATGGTGCTTAGATCTAATCCCAGGACTGAGACCAGAAAAGAAAAAAAACCCTGAAAATTTAATTTGTTGAGTTTTTTCACAGGCCGCAATGGTTTGAAATGAAACATTAAGTTCTTCTCCTGCTGACTTTAGTGATGCCCAGAGCTGGACCTGTAATTTCCCTTTCCTTTCATTTTTGTATTTGGTAGCTTGGTTGAGCCTACAGCGACACAAGACATCCTCTAGCCAGGGGCTGTAACCTGCCTTCTAGTACATATTTTTTGCCAACTGCTGCAGGGAAACACAGTCAGGTCCCTGACCTTCTCTCAATAATAAAAGATGCATATTTTAGTACCTTTTCCTGTTCCCTGTGAGTAATTTTTCTTGTTCCCAGGGAGTTCTCACTAGAATAGCTGCACTCAAAAATACCTTCACGCCAACAGCAAGCTCACGGGGGTTTAAACCAATTCCCACCATGGTTATAGAAATATTTGTATTGTCTACAGTGAATTTTGGGTCAGGCCTCTCTTTCTGAATTAACCTGCTGGAAGACCAGACCTACTCTCTAAGTGATTATAGCCCTTGCAGCAAATCAGCAGTTTGTGGAGCTACGAGGAAATCTACCCAATCTCTCTCTTTCCTGGCTTCACAAGTGGGAGCTGTTGATACCTGCACAGCTCCTGGTACGAGGCAGAGCAGAAGAGCACAGTAAGTTAATCCACAAGCCATTCAGAAACGTCTAGGACAGAGACAGTGACACCAGGGAATCATATGTCTGCACTGAACATCGAGCAAATTGTTTACTTGGAGGGTTGATGAGAAACGTGCAAATGAACCTCTGAAGCAACTACTTGTCAGGTAAGGATACTAATGTGCTCTAATAAAAAGCAGTGTGTTCTCATCATTGCAGTATCTTTTCCCCAAATGTACTTGCAGCAGTTTATCAACATTATATAATGCAGGGAGGGTTCAGGACAAGGATAAAGAGTTGATAGCCAGCTTTTGGTGTGCTTGTTTTTTTTTACTCGCTTGATTCATAGGTCTCATCTTTACACAATGTACTTTGAGCTGTTTTTACTTTTATTTTTAATGATCAATGTTATTCCTGATCCTAAATAAACATCCAAGATATCCTTTAGATTTCAGGAGCAGGCTTGAAAGACTGCTTTTAAGAACTAATCCAGTGTATGGTTTGTTTCTCGTTCAGTCAATGATTATTGCATTCTATGTTTTCCTCTTGTTTACTCCCTTTTTCCCTGCCACAGAAGAACGGGTTTTTTCCTCCTGCCCTGCAGGGAAAAAAAAAAAAACAAACAACCAAAAAACCAACAAAGCAGAAGAAAGGAAGAGCAGGAGAGCAGGATAGGAAAGCTCTAGCAGTGCTTTTTCTTTAGGGCTTGTGGCGGGAGTGAGGGAGCGAGGCTGGCGACCTCCTGTCCTTCAGAGGAGCAGGTTGCCCTTCCCAGGGGCAGGGAAGGCGGGGGGGAGGGAAGGGGGAGTCGTCTGAATGCCCCGCGGGGGCAGCATCACGCCCGCCGTGGCCCCGGGGAGCTCCGGGGACACCCTGCGGCGGAGAGCGCGGGGAGGGCACCGCGGGGGAACGGCGGCTCCGCGGCCGGGGAAGCGGAGGGGCTGAAGAATGGCGGGATGGACGGATGGATGAGGGATGAGGGGTAACGGGTGGAGTGATGGAGGGGTGAAGGACAGATGGATCGGAGGATACGGGATGCAGGAAAGAGGGATGCAAGGAGGAAGGGTATTAAAATGAGAGAATAAAGGCTGAGGGACGAAGGGATGGAAGCGATGAAGGACAGGGGGCTGCCAGAGCGAGCGCCCGAGCTTCCCAGCTTCTCGCCCTGCGCTGCGCGCCCCCGCGCGTCTCCCGGTCCCCCCTCCCCGCTCCGCCGCTGCGCGTGCCCGCGCCCGGGGCTGACTCTCCTCGCATCCTCCTCCGGCGGCGGCGACGGCGGCAGCGCCGGGGATGGGCAGCGAGAGCGCGCCCAGGAGCAGCCCGGGCCCCGCCGCTCGCCCCTGCTCCCGCGCCCGCTGCTGCTCCTGCCCCGCAGCCCCCCGCGCACCGGGGGCAGCGCCGCCGCCGCGCCATCCGCAGCCCCCGCCTCGGACGGGTGAGTGACCGGGCCCTGCGCCCTCGCCCCGAAAAGCACCTGCCCGGCATCCCCCCATTCCCGCTCCCGCGCCTCCCGTGCCGGGGTGGCCCCGGGGACGCGTGCCGGGGGAGCGGGGGCCCGCGGGGGCGGCTCCGCGCTCCCCCCCGGCCCCCGCCCCGGGGGAACGGAGCGTCCCGGCCCGCGCCCCCTGCGCCCGTGCGGAAGGTCCGCGGGGCAGCGGGGATGTCCCCGCGGCTCCGCCGGGATGTGAGCAACGGGGCTCCCGCCCTGCTGCCCCTCCCGGGCACCGCCGCCCGTTCCCACGGGATCTTCCACAGGCGTACGCGGACGCCCCGGCAGCGCCGCTCCCCAGCCGCGGCCAGGAGACCCCCGAGCCCCCCGAGCCCGCACCCCCGGGCGCCCGGGGCGGCTCTCGGAGAGGGGGCAGCGCCTTAACTTTGCAAGGGACCCTTTGGAGGTGGGGAAGGAGCACCCAGCTCAGCAGAATTGGCAGCTTCCCCGGAGTCGCCCCGGAGGGAGGTGGCGGAGGGTCCTGGTCCCCCTCCCGGAGCCGCCGAGCGCGGCCCTTCCCCGGGGCTCGGGGGCGGCTTCGGGCAGGGCTCGGCGCTCGATGGACTTTTCTAACACTCCCTCCACTAGCATAATTAAATAAATAAAGTGAAGGGGGGGGTGGGGGGGGTGGGCTAGAAGTCTCTGCTTGATCTTCTTTCGCTGCCCAGAGCCGCGAGTGCAAACGACGGGATGCTGTCTCTGAAAAGGGTTTTCTGGTTTTTATGTGTCATGATGCACACGGCTGGTGGTACACTAGTATAGTAACTATCTGTATCCCAGTAGTTCCCTGTCGAAGGGTTGTTATGGCAGCAGCGGTCCTCGCTTCTTTTATTTTTTTTTTATCTCTGGCACAGGGTAATGTCAAAGACCTGGAAACAGCCTTAATTAAAAAGAAAATAAAAAAAAATAAAAAGAAAGAAAGAAAGAAAGAAAGAAAGAAAGAAAGAAAGAAAGAAAGAAAGGACAAAAAAGATAATAAAGCAGTCTCGTGCCTCTTTGACAAATAGAGAACAAATACAAATATAAGATTCACACTCAATCTTCACTCCCTTCTCCAGAAGCTGGTGCTGTGATAAAGCTAATGACTGGAGGAGGTTGGAGTAAAATGTCTTTCCCCCATACCTAATTCCTGCTTTTTGCTAAATTTTGTCAGAATTTTAGCTTGATTGTGAGTTGTGCTTTTTCATGTGTTTTACTGACACTTTTTTCTTACTTGGAGAGAATGTCTTTAGTCCTGCATTAGACTGGGCAAATGGATTCAAGTGCTCTTACATACAAGTAAAGCACATCATTTGCAATATCTTGTAATTCTGTAGATTTGCTTTTCTGTGCAAGTCACAGGATGATGGTTTTCTCCTTGTAATGCAGAGAGGAATATCTACGAGACTCATCTGAATGGTTTCAGCACATCTTACCTGCCACAGCTGGTGGCAGTCTGAAACAATAAGATTTAAAGGCTATTATGGAAGTAAGTTTCTCTATCACATTTAGTGGTCAGCCTATTCTAAGCCAAAACACATATAGTTCTAAGAGAAACAGTCTGATTCTGATTTCAGTTTAGTTAGTTTTTTAGACACAGTGTTTAAACCCTGAAACCATTGAGGAGGATGGATGTTAAAACTCATAAAATTGGTAGCAGGCTGTACTACTTTGACATTTTTACTCTGCACTTTTGTAGATACCATTTGTTGTCTTCGATCAGAGTTTGCTTGGGTAGAGATTGAGCAGTAAATGATAAGGACAGAGGATTTTTGTCCTGGCAGCTCCTGCATTTTTATTTCCATCAGAATATTTGAAGACTGATATTGATATTGCAGAATGAAATGTTATTGAATTGTGATATCTTGTTTCCAATTGTACATTTTGAAATGTTTGGCTTATCAGTGGGAAAGCAACACAAATGTGTAAATGTTGATTTAAGTTTAAAAAAATGCTGTCCCAGGGTGATTCATGTCTAGAAACAGGCTAGATTCAGGTTAAATAAGTGAACTAAAACAATGTAGTGTAAGTGATCCATAAATAATTTTCACTGCTTATAATGAAAATAGGTACTGTTATCTTTGAGTTGGAATTTAGAGATGCTGGAACAGAGATGAAGAACAGCAAAATACCTATATTTAATGACAGACAGAACTCTTGAATAAACATCAAGTATTTCTGAGGGAATGCAAGCCCATTTTGTAGTATAACTTTCGTCATGATTCTGATCCCAGCTAAATCAGTATGAGATTCTCCCTTGGCACTGTTGTGAGCTGAATCAAAGACAACTCTGCTATCCATTTTTGAAGAATGGGAACATGAAAAGATCATTTGTATTTTTCCCCATTATCATAGCTGGAAGGATTTCTTTTGTATCTCATATGGAATAGCCCACACTTTACCCTCCTAAGCAGTAGTCAGGCCTACAGTTCTTACCTGCCCAGACAGCTCAGCTGAGATAATTCTTGTGAGAAAGAATAATACATGTTTTTAGGGGCAGCTTTATTATGACCAAATAATAGTCATGTTTACTGGAAAAAGGTTTGACTTTGTATGATATCTTCATATCAGATAGCACAAAAATTTCATATTAGGGAGTGGGAATAACACATTTCTTAAAATGTGGTTTTTGGTTTTTGTTTTTTTTTGCTTTATTTGCTTTAAGGTTCTAATCTGAAAGGACTAGATTAATTTAATCAAGATGGAGGGTAGATGCTTCTATCTTTAGTGATTAAAAATATCCTTAGAGATTTAAAAATAACCTTAAGTCGTAATGAAGAAAAGACAAATTTGGACATTCTGAAAAGGGTTACAAATAAAGTTATTTGATACAAACTAACCAACAGATTGCACTTATTTAACATGAGACAGTAGTAAAATGGAACAAAAAAGAAAGCTGGCAAAAACAAGACATCTTGGGAAAAGCACAGTATAAATCCTGAAAGAGTTGCAAAAATTGCCCAAGAGACTCCAATGTTAACTGTTTGACTCCCTTACGGGAGTCAAAAAGAAAAAGCCCCATTGATTTCAGTAAACATTAATAGTGTGGAATGTATGCTAAGAGAAGAGATGGGTAATTAACTAAGTACCACAAGAATTCAGAGTGATAGTTATTGAAATCAGATTAGAAAGGTATGGTCTTTCTACAGTTGGAAGGAAGTCCTGACTTCACTGAAAATGAATTGGAGGCTTGCTATCTGTTTCTCAGGGCCAAAATGTCAACCTGAGAATAATGTTTCAAATTAGTTTTAAAAAACATGGCACATTATAGTTAATCTGGTTTTAATTTGTGTGATGTTTTATTAAAATGATGTTGCCTTTGCCAAGCTCAAATAATTAATTAGTGATTGGTAACCATTTTCTCTTTCTTTTTACATTTTTTTAAATGTCAGTTTTTCAGAAATGGCAAGAAATACAAAACAGTCTTCCTGCAAGACTGCACTTATAAACTGAATAATTCAAAGCCTGTACTGTCATAGTGCAATCAAATTTTTAATATGATGCTGTCAAAAGTCATAAAAAAAAGAAAATCAAATGTGACATCATCGAAGACAACATATATAGCTGACATGACATCCAAATGTTTTAATTTCCCCACATTATATTTAGTAGTTAATGAAGATAGACTTTTCTTTCTTCCCTCTGAGGAAACTCCTAATACAAGATATTAAATGGTCAGAAAAAAAACCTACTTTATTTTCTTAAAAACATATGCAAGTTTTGTGAAGATAAGTTCTGAGCATAAAGGAGATCAAATCATTAAAAGATGATATAAAGCCTGGGAAACAGAACTGAGATAATTTGTGGATGATGAGAAAAAAAATGTTGTCAGACAAATTTTCTAGAATATGGTATGTATTATCTCAATAAAGGACATTTTATTAACTATTCATAACTATGGATGAACCTCTATCTAAAGAAAGAGACGAAGTCACCTATTCTGTGACTTTCTGCAGAAATAAACAGAAATAAACATTTTTCTGCTGTTTTTCTCCCCAAATTAAGTATAACTAATGCCAATTGAAAGTACAAAGTACCAGATTAGCAGAAGTGGAAAATGAAACTGTTTTCACTCAGCCTTTGTGGAGCACAGGAAGCAACAGTGCAGTGTGGTGACCCCAGAATGATCTGCCACTTCAGCCTGGTTTCACTAGCTTCTTGACATGGGAAAAAAGTTTGCCCACTGAGATCTTCCAGGTGGCTAAGGACCAATTTGCTCCAAGTGATCAATGTACTGAGGAAATTTGTCTGGAATGGGATTTCAGTTGATAACCTCAGCCCTGGTTGTGACTCCATGGGGACCCAACTGGATCCTGCAAGGAGCTCAGCATCAGTGCTTTCAGAAGTGCCAAGTGCCTGCTCAGGATCCTCTAAAAAATGGAGTGAAATACCTGTTCATTTCATACAGGCCACAAACCAGCTTTCAAATCATAATGATTTTCCATCACTGTTGCATGTTGGCTGTATTTGAATCAGTGAACTAGAGGTGAAAGGCTCCAAAAATGTGATTATCCAGTCCCATGAGACATTTAGTTCTTCAAAAATAGCTTATTGGAAATGCTTATTTGTATTTCAGAAACTGAGGTAGAGAGAAATGAATTAACAACACAAATATTTTTATTTTGTTTTAAAAAGTGCTTTCACAGATTTTTTTGTTTTGATTTGTTTTGGTTTTTGTTTTGTTTTTGTTTTGTTTTGGTTTGGTTTGTTTTTTTGTTTTTGTTTTTTTTTTTTTTTTTTGAGAGACTGTAAATGCCAGATATTTGGTTCTGGAATACATATCTAATCTGTGAGCAAACAGCCTCATAGATTTGTATTTCTTTACCAAATAATAATAATGCTGCATTTTTGATTTGACAGTAGAAAATGATTTAACCATACGCTCCCACCATACGCTCCCATACATGGCTAAATTGAAACATTCTAATACTAATGTTTGTAGTTTTGGGTTTTCCCCCCATATCTAC